CTAGGAGGGGCTAACCACTGGCATTTGAGGAGCCTCCCTCTGCCCAGCACCTCTCCTGCCATCTCACCAGTAGAGCTGCCCTCCTTGTGTTCCAGCACCGCTGCTCTTCTCAGAAATAAATACATTTTATTGTGTTTTACAAAAATAATAATGCTCATTGTAAAAAAACAAAACAAAACAAAACTCCAACAGCATCCTATCTCCTTTTAAAATGTCAATCCCTCCCTACCAAGGGGTGGGATAGTGGGTCCCTCCGTAATGTGCCAGTGCAGAGGTCTGGGTCCCAGGCACGTAGGAGTGGGGCACAGGGGGGGTCAGGGAAGGAAGGGATGCATGGATTGTTTTTGCCAGCTGGGTCTTGTGCTTCCCAGCTGAGTCTGGAAGGAGTGTCCTTCCCTGTTCACTCCAAGCCCGTGGCACACTTCAGCTGCCGGGGAACCCCCTATTCCAGCAGTGGTGGCTGGGAGCTGGGTGAGTGCCATACAGAATCTCCCAGGGACCTTTTGGTGGGGTCCCGAAACCAGCAAGAAGAAAAGGTGGACGGGAGCCCAGACAGAAAGGGAGTGAGTCAGAGCTGAGGAACCCAGACCTCCTGAGCCTCCAGGCCCCCAAGAATGCCCTGAGGAGATGCACAGTAGGGTGGTAGAGAGAGAGAGGCCAAGGGGGAGGAGAAGGAAGAAGCAGAAGCCAGCCAGGGAAGGCGCCTGAAGTGGCTGGAAGCTCAACCCAGACCCACCAGCAGCCTGGGAGAGTGGCCTGGCCCTAGCCTCAGCAAAGGGAAGAGGCACCAGAAGGAGTGGGGCTGAGCTGGGGCCTGGGGTCCAGGCCTGGAGAGCTAGGCTGGTGTGCCTGCCAGAGCACTCTAGGGATACGGAAGAAGGAATAACAGCCAGACACAGGACCGAGCCTCCCCTCCCAAGTTCCAGGTTCTGAGCACAAGAAGAGGATGCTAAAGGCTCCCACCAGAGCAGCAGGACCACTGGCAGTGGAAGACTAGAGGGCTTGACCGTGAGGTACAATTAGCACCTGGCGGAACCCAGGCTCCGACTCCCACCCAGCCGAATACACACCTTGGCTCCTTTACAACCCAGGACAGGAGGCACATTTCCAATCCTAGAGGGCCTGCTGCCAGGCATTGGGAAGGGGGCTATTTACCCACAGGCAGTAAGGATCCAACTCTCAGAAGCACTGAGGCTCAGGAAGTCAGTCCCACCCGCTGAGTTGCCAAAAGGCATGGAGAAGATGGGTGGAGAGGGACTGGTGGGTCCCTGGAGAAAGGCTAGATCAGGCCAACACCCAAAAAAAGCAGCAGGAATTGGAGGGTGGTGGATGGTGCTGAGCAAGCCAAGTCCGGAGGGAGGACAGCCTCTTTCCCCAACTCAAGCCAATCCTTGGAGAATCCCTCTGGAGACCTAGTTCTAAGGAGCATCTGAGGGGAGCTAGGGTTGGTGGTGCCATTCCCGACGACCAGCCCTCTCCTCACTCCTCCTGCTGTGAGTGGAGGACTTGGACCACCGTGGGGCCAGAGAACTCCTTATGACAGAGCATGGCCCAACTCCAGCCCAGAACACAGCAGCTCGCTGTACCCAGACTTGCTCATCTTGCAAAGCTGAAATCCACTAATTCCCTGGGATGGGCGGAGGCCTGGAAGGAGACTGGAGCTGGGCCTTGGACAGCAGCCCCATGGAATCCATGAAAAGCTGGATCAGCACCTGGGGTTTGTCTACATTGGAGCCCTGGCGGGTTCAGAGACACTGAGAAAGCAGTTTAGGCCATTACCCTGCAGCCTATCAGCTGGGATTCCCCCCCCACACACACACACATACACACACATCCCTCATACTAGGTTCCTGAATTGCTTTACAAAAAGGGAGGGGTTCGAGAGGCAGAGGACATTCTCCAGGTCCCTACCAGTCCTCCCCACCGAAGCGGGTGAGTAATCCTGGATCCTAGTGAATTCGTGCCAGGCGGACTCAGGACGCCTGGAGATCTGCGACCAGCTGACTGTGAGCTGGAGGGCCCCCCAGAGTCAAACAGCGTCCCAACTATGCGAGGGAGCGCATACACACACGCACATTTAGCAAAGCCAACCCCGCACATCCCTGCCAAGTGGCGATACCTGGGTACAGGCGCTCCCAGCCTTCCTAATCCAGCACACGCAGGAGGTATTCTAGCAGGACGCAGACTCCCGCGAGGGAAGGACTTGGATGGGAGCCCAGTGGCTCTGCACGACCCGCCTCCTGGGCCGGGAACTGGGCCGCCCTGGCAGTGTGCCCCGGGAGGAACTGAGGGGCTGGAGGCCGCCTGGGTTGAAGAGCTGGGATTCAAGATCACTCAGCTGGGCCAGAGCCCAGGCTTGGAGAGGAGATCCAGCGCCCTCCACCCCAAACACACACACTCACTGCACGCACTCTCCGCCTCAGCACGCAGGAGCCCTGAGTTCCTCACTCAGTCCCACTTCCCAGGCCTGCGGAGAAGAGAGAGCCGGGACTTGTGCGGGACGCCAAATCCCGTAGCGCCAAGAGAATGCGAGGCAATAAAGGGTGCGGAAGAAAGAAGACGGGGAACTCCGAAGAGTTAACCCGGGGCTGGCCTGCAGCCCCCTCGTGTGCTCCCTGCCCGGCTCCTCCTGCAGCCAGGGAAGGGGAGGCGGCCCCAACTTCCCGGGTCCTGACTCCGCAGGCCGCTGCCCGAGGCCACCGGTCTCTCTTGGCAAAACGGCCGGGCTCACCCGGGAGTGTGCGCGCGCCCAGAAGCCCATCCACCGACTTCAGAAGAGGACGTCGGACCGAGACCTGAGCTACTGGCACAGAAGGAGTCATTCGTGAAATGAAAATTTAAAGGGGTGAAAACAAAACCTGGCTGGTTTCAGCAGGTGCTCTTCCATTTTTCTTTGAACGGAAACCCGGGCCTCGCATGTGGCAGGAAGGTTCGTGCCGAGCGTTTGCTTTCTGCTAAATTTTTCTCTGCTAGACGCGTCTTATTTGAATAATAAAAATTAAACTTGAGAGAGCCAGAGAGGAGAAAGACTGATGTGCGGAGCAAAGATGACGGGCTGGATCAGGCTACCAGTGTCCTACTGGGCTGGGGTGGAGGGCGCCCTAGTCCATATGGGAGTCACTGAAGAGTTCGGCAGCCCCTCCAGAGGCCAGGCTCGGAGGGACCAAGTGCAGGGCTCACGGTGCACATGCGACATGGGTTCTTTCAGCCGAGCTCGGTCCCGCTGGGTCACACTCCCCAGGGCCCTCCTGTAACTATAAACCCCCTTTCTCCTAGCGCCCCGGGCGCCGAGAACTCTCACCACTCGCAGCTGGCACACGCTGCTCTCCCTCTGCACACTCTGCGCCACACCCTGGGCTCAATCCTGCCACTCCCCTCCCAAATTACTCTGTGGCCGAGTTTTTTTCCTTCCTTCCTTCCCTCCTTTCAGTTAGCAGTTAGCGGTCTTCCTCCCATGCCCCCTTTACCCTCCCTTTTTCCCCCAGTCCCAAACCCTGTGCGGAGGAGCCGTTGGTCACCCAATTAAATAATTGGTGCGCCCCCGCTCACCTCGCCTTCGGCTGGGGACATTTGAGATTGGACAAATACACACACTCAACCGCTCACATGCACACTGGACACACACTAAGGCACTGACACACACGCACACTCATATACCCCGATTATACGCTCACCGAAGTCATGGTGGCTGCACCAGCAACATAGTCAGCCATGCCACAGCCACCTAAACCCGGCATATCCACAGCCCCTGCCCCCACAGACACTCTCAGACCCTCGGACAGACCGAAGCACCCTCCTCACCCTAGCATGAGGGCCAGAAAAGGGAAGCAAAGTTTGCGGTGATATCGCTTTCGGGGAGGGGTGACTGGACCTCCCACGCGCACACACACGTTTGCACACACGTCTTCTCTGGGGTCTCTCAATCTTTCCTCCAAGCTCCTGTCTGAATCCAAGGAAGGGAAATTCGGGCCTGGCATCTCCTGGTGCTGTCAAAGAAGCTAGACTTGGGCGAGCGCGGGCTCATCAGAAAGTGCTGGGGACCCGGACATATTGGAGGGCTGAGCGCTACGCCCAGGGACCCCCATTGCTGAGCTCCACAGCCCGGCCTGGCTTCCAGCCGCGCTCACCTCTACCCTTCGCCACTCCGCAGCGCAGCGAAGGCGGGGAGGCGTGGGGGGGAGCTCGGGGGAGGGGCGCGAAAGGAAATGCCCACCTTCTATCCCTGTCTGAGGGTTCGGTCCCCTGGGTGAAGGCCTCAGATCCGCAGGGATCCAGACGTTTGCTGCCTACCACAGTCTCGGCCTCACTCGACCCTCTCGGCTCCTGGAGCCGGCTGTCTGTCTGCACGTCTATTTTCTCTTCTCCGGCGAGTGCGAGTCGGAGGCCCTTGCCTCACTCTCTCAGGCTTATTTACCACATTCTTGGCCTTGCTCTCCCAGGGGCGCCGAGAGGGTCCTGCGGTCGGTGTTAGGAGTGGAGGTGGAGGTATGAACCTGAGAACTGGAGCATGAGCCCCGCCTCCAGCCCCCCACCCGCCAAGCGCCCAAGCAAGGCCAACCTCCTGTTTTCTGTTCGGTCTCGCCGGGGTCGCCTTCCTGGAGCACTTTGGCTATTGATCCCGCTGAAAGAGCTGGAGCGCGGAGGCTGCGCTTCCCTGGGGACGAAGGGAGTGGGGAGAGGAGTAGGCTGGCGGTTGGGGGAGGGAGTTGATAAACTTCAGGAGAGGATGTAGGGCATTCCTCAATACCCTAGGGCCGCCCCGGCCTCCCTCTGCTGGGCTCGGAGTAGGGCTAAACTAGGGTGGAGGAGTCGGCCCACTGCCCCCCATCCCCGGGCACAGAGCCTCAGCGCGCGGCTGGGAGTCGGGGAACCCCGGCTGGGGCCCAATCAGCAGAGAGGGGTGGGGCATCCGGGTGGGGGCGGGGTAGGAGGAGGAGTTGGGCGGGGGCGCGAGGGGCGGGGAGCCGCCAGCTTCGCCAGCCCAGGCTGCCCAGGCGGTGGCGAAGGCGGCGGTGGCGGCCGGCATGGGCGATGGGGGCGCCGAGCGCGACCGCGGCCCCGCACGCCGGGAGTCGCGCGGCGGGCGGGGCGGGGACCGCGGCGGAGCGGAGGACTCGACCGCTGATGCTGGCGGCCGCAGCCCAAGGGATACTGCCGGGACCTCCGCCTCCAGCCCCGCGGGCTCCAGGGAGAGCGGCGCCGACAGCGACGGGCAGCCCGGGCTCGGCGAGGCAGACCACTGCCGCCGCATCCTGGTGCGAGGTAAGAGGAAGCTCGCGGCGCCGGCCCACTGGACCCCCACCCTACCCCTACTGGGACCTCCGACCTTCCTGCAGCCTCCCCCTCCCAATTTATATATTCAATCACTCATCATTCAGTCATTCATTCAGCAAATATTATTTTGAGCGTCTATTGTGTGCTGGACATTGAGCTGAGTGCGGGGGACAAAGCGGCAAATGGGACCGAAGAGATCCCCATTTCACTGCCTTACAATTCTCAACCTCTCGGCCGCCCCCTCTCCCTAGGCCATCCCGCCGGTTACTGTGGCAGGGGCAGAGATGGGAGTGTGGGATGCCGAGAGCCAGGTTCCCACCCCGCGTCCCTCGCAGAGAAAAGCGTCACGAGCGCTCCGCGGGGTCAGGACGAGGAGGGACCAGCATCCGGAACCGCGGGGGGAAAAGGCCGGGGCTCCGCTCAGCGGTCGGGCGCTTCCCCGCCTCCTGCCAGCCTTGTTTCCCATTCCCAGCGACGCAAACCGCACCGGTTCCTCGCGGGAGAGGGCACCGGAACGCGGAGGGTGGTGTGCGCCGCGATCGCCCGCCTGTGCTTCGCTCTCTCGGTTGCACTCCCTCTCGGCGCTTGCGCCCAGCCGGCTCTCCGTGCGGCCTTCTCCCCGCCTGGCTTTTCGCGTCTCTCCCTTTCTCCCTGGCCCTTCGTCCTCCTCTCTTCTTTCCTGGCTACTTCTCTCCGCCGAGCCCGCCTTCTCAGCACTCTTCCTGCAAGCGCCTCTGGACTGCGCCGCAGTGCCCAGCTCTGCCTGGCCTCCTTGCCGCGAGGCTGAGGCTCCCCCGGCCCCCAAAGCCAGCCTCACGCGAAGCTCTAAGCTCGGCTTTCGCCAGATCCCGGCTTCGCCCAGCGAGATGGGAGGAGAAAGGGGATCCCGGGGTCTTGCTCTCAGCCCGTCCCTAGGCCGCAGCCAGAGCCTGACGTCTGTTTTGCCCACCATCCTGGAGCCCCGGGACTGGGAGACCCAGCGCCCAGAAGAGGCCACTCGCGGGTAAAGTCTGCCCCGGCCTCCTTCCCCAACTCCCTCGCCTGGCTTCCTCCCGCTGCCTTTTTCCTGCCCCTTCTTCCTGAGTGCCCGTCCTGCGAGCCGCCACGGGCCTCGCGAATCGACTGGGTCGAGCTGATTTCCTCCGCCACCGCCTAGGGAAGGGGCACTAGCTTGACCCCAGCTCGAGGTAGCTCTAGCGCCAGGATCCCGAGTTTCTCTGATCTGAGCTGGGCTGCCCACAGACAGACTGGGACACACCGGCCTGGTTGCACACAGCCTCCTCACAGCCACTGGGTTTGGGTAGCTCTGGAAATGGGGGACAGAGCTAGGGTGAGCATGGAGGCAGCCCAATGTGAAGTTGATTGATGACAGTCTTGGACACAGACTCAGGGACCCTGGTCTTGGGAAACACTCCTGCAGGGGTGGTCAATGAGAGATGGGGTGCCCAGCACTGTTCTGGGGGCAGGCTTAGGTCAAGGCAGTTACAGGACAGAGCATGGGGGGTTGGTCCCCATCCAGCAGGGATTCCAGCAGGTGTGTGGACCTGTTGGGCACCTGGGATAAAATTAGATCCCATTCCACAGACTGTGGGGTGTCCTGGGTGCAAGGTGTTGGCAGCCAGCTTGGACTTCCATTAAGGGAATCTTCCGGGTGGGCCTCCAGAAATGGAGAACTCAGCCCCCAAAGCCTATACTCCCAGATTAAGGGCCTCAAGTCCCTGCCCATAACACTCACCACCTTGCACCCCGTCTATGGATGGACAATTATGAGTTCTGTGCTCACCTACCATCCCTTCCGCTCTACTAATTCTGCATGTGGAACAAATAAATTTTGTGTATAGATGTCAGTTAAATAACTCCCAAGTGTAGATACATGAAAGGTAGGAGTCAAAAGTGACCCTCCACCCTATGTGGGATGGCTACACAATAGGAGCCATCCACAGCCAGGCAGAGATGGACCCCCACCACATGTGGCAGCTTGTGTGCATTGTCAGGAGGTGTACTTTTATAAATAGGTGTACGCACATATAGCAAAGCCGTTACATTTGTACCATATAATGGAAATAGAACATAGGGGGTGTATTTACGCACCTAAAAAATGAAAGATAAACAGATCCATCATAAGTCCCTCTGCCCTTTCCCATTTAATGACAAGGAGGTCATTACAGGCCTGAGATACTCGGGATGTCATTTACCACTAATCCCTCCTAGCCAGGGTCACCTGCGTCACTCCTGGCCCCACAGGGCCCAGGGCCCAGGCTCTGACGGATGAAAGGTCCAGCGCCAGTGAAGGGACATCTGCAGCCCCTTGGCCCCAGGATGAACGTCCCTCCAGTATGCTCTAAGCGGGAGTCCATTTTGCCATTGGCCTCCAAGGACCCCTCCTCCCAAAGTTCCTTCGGAGGAAACCAGAAAAAGGTGGAAAGGAGGCATTTGCCATTGAAGCCTCAGGTTGCTGGTGGGGTGAGGATTCTGGGAAAGAGCCGCACTCTCTCTGGATCTTTGCCTTTCTTTCTGCCTCTTTTCCACTCCATGCTTGCTCCCCCGAGGGCCCCACCCCGGGGTAGCAGACCCTGTTGGGGGAGGCCCAAGGCACAGGGAAGTAGGAGGGAAGCGTGGACACTGGGATTTAGTGAAGGTGGTTCCGAATGCCTTACAGCCCTTTGAATTTGAACCAGTTTCTTTGCCTCTCTGTGCCTCAGTTTCCTCCTCTGTACAAAGAAACCCGTAGCTCTTACCTGGAAGGGCTGTGCTGACGGTCAGAGGTGATGTCTATAAAGCTGCAAACTCCCAGCAGGATCTCCGTAAACATCCCGTTGAATGAAGGGGAGGAGCTCTGGGGCGACCACAGATCACTTCTGGGAGTGGGCCTCCTTCCTCAGAGGCCTCTCTCACTCACCTCCCTGTGGGGGACACGACTCTTTCTGGCTCTGGGCCCAGAGGCTGCGCACGTGTGGGGAGGTGAGCAGCCAAGGGGTCAGGAACCTCTGATGAAAGGAGGATCAGCGCCACCTTGCAGACCACACGGTGCAGCCTTCCCCAATCCCCTTCAAAGAACCCTCGCTCAACCAATCACTCCAGTTTCCGGCTGTCTGTGTGAAATGTGGGTCAGGGAGCCAGGGAGGACGACTTTACTGAATCCCCTGCCTCAAAATGGAGGCTGCATCATGCCACACACAGGCACAAACAAGGCCACTGGGATGACAGGCCTGTGCACACAACAGGCACCTCGCACACCCCACCACGGACACAGCTAGGCTTCCACGGAGATCATACAACCGAGGTGGCCGCCCCACACCTCTGTGTGCACAGCTTATTGGCGGGTGAGAGTAGGGACGGAGGACCCTTTTTTATATTTGGAAAGAGCCCGGCAACCAGAGGTGGGAGGCTTCCGGAAGGAACAGGCCGCCTCCCAGCCGTGGCTCTAACTGCATTGTGCAGCCTCGGTGCAAGGGCCTTTTCGGTGGAGCCGGGATCCTGGCAGTCGGAAGACATGGGACAACTCTCACCGAAAACTCCCTGCAACCTCACAATCTACGCTTGCACCTGGACACTCAAACTGTCTACGTGCTCCCCTAATTAATCCGGACACAAATTCACCGACCTGTCTGGATTGAGCCAAGAATGGCAATCTGCCAGCGTCACTCCAACCAGCAACTTGTATGAACAATGCGTGGCGCCAGTCCCTCCTCACCCGAAGCGATCCCTCGGGCCTGCCGGTCTCAAAACCACATTAGGGCTGCACCCTCTACCCCCAACTCTCCCGCACTGTGAGACCTGTGGCCCTCCCTGCGTGGCTCCGCACCCTTCCATCTGGGAGCAGGAGGGCAGGAGGACTTCGGAATGCCTTGCCTGAGTGACTGGCTGCTCCCCCTCAACACCACCACCCACTAGGCGAAGCTATCACCTGGGAGCTTCCTGGGAGCTTGATGGATGGGCCGGGTGGTTGGGGACTAGGAGGGCGCACAAAGGCCAAGGCCTCTAGCTGCAGCTGGACAATTCTCACTGTGGATGTGGGTGTGGGGAAGGGGCGTTGAATTTACTGGGGTTTGGCCTCCCCTGGGAATCTGGGGGCAATGTTGGACCCGCACTCCAGAAACATGCACCTCCGAACACTTACGAACAGCACAATGGTGTACACCAGGCAGGGCCCTGGCTGCCACAGACGTGCCTGAAGATGCCAGCCACCACTTCGGGGGCTCGAGCTGGGAGAGGCCTGCGGGAACAGACTGCCCTCTCCAGCAGCCAGGTCTGGATCCAGCGGAGCCGGCATCTGCTCCCTTTCTACTTGGATTTACAGCAGCCACTGGACCTAGGGGGACTCAGCCTGGACCTTGAAGGCCTCACCCCACAGGTCGGTTGGGGCAGCTCCACAATGGCCCACCTGCCCACCTGCCCAGCGGGTGCTTTGGCAACAGAGAAGGTGGGCCAAGTGATGTATTGGAGGGAGCAGGGATTTTGAGTCCTGGCACTTGGGCCCTCGGCAGACCACTGGACCATGGCCTCAGTATCTAAGTCTGTTAATAGAAGTGATTACCCAGGACCAGCCCCACAGGCAGTGGTTGCAAGCTTTAAATGTTTCATGCAGGGGACTGCACTTTGGGATTTTTGTTTTTATTTTAATTTTTAGTTTCGGGCTTTGTGGGGGTGTTTGGTTTCTTTCTTATTTTCCTGAGATTGTTTTGTTTTATGTTTGTTATTTTCCCTTTTGCTTTGTTTGTTTTGGGCAGAAGGACCCACAGTCTGGTGGCGGGTCTTTGCCAGGCCCTATCATTTTGGTTTGTACCTCCCCAACCCCACCCCACACAAACAGAAGCACACCAGCAACCAAAAGTGTCGTCTGTCGGTGTGTCTTGTGTGCACCGTTTTTATTTTCAGGGAACTGTGCAGGCCATTAGTCGGCTGCTCGTGTTCTCACCTATTTCTGCCATCTTGGAGGGTCGCTTGGACTCGGATGCCCTTGGACCCGCTGCGGCTTCCCGCACACA